CATCTTGAATTCCCCCCTATTATTCACTGATGAAATTTTAACAATTTCACCCTTATTGTATTTTAGGGTTATCAATGCTTCTCCTACTAGCCAGTAGCAGTCTTATGGTTCATCCAGTGCTGCTTACATTCTGTTTTTGTGTCAGTTTGCTGAGAATGATGGTCTCCAGCTTCATTCATGTCCCTACAAAGGACATGAACTTATCCTTTTCTATGGCTGCATAGTATTCCATGGTGTATATGTGCCACATTTTCTTTATCCAGTCTATCATTGATGGGCATTCGGTTGGTTCCGAATCTTTGCTATCATAAACAGTGTTGCAACAAACATAAATGCATGTGTCTTTATAATAGAACAATTTATAATACTTTGGGCATATAAATAAAATTTCTATTGCTAGATCCCTGAGGAATTGCCACACTGCCTTCCACAATGATTGAACTAATTTACACTCCCACCAACCGTGTAAAAGTGTTCATATTTCTCCACATCCTCTTCAGCATCTGTTGTCTCCAGATTTTTTAATGATCACCATTCTAACTGGCTTAAGATGGTATCTCAATGTGGTTTTGATTTGCATCTTCCTAATGACCAGTGATGATGAGCATGTTTTCATATGTTTGTTGGTTGCATAAATGTCTTCTTTTGAAAAGTGTCTGTTCATATCCTTTGCCCACTTTTTGATGGCATTGTTTTTTTCTTGTAAATTTGTTTTTCTTTGTAGATTCTGTATACTAGCATGATACTGGGACCAAAACAGAGATATAGACCAATGGAACAGACCAGAGGCCTCAGAAGTAATGCCACACCTCTACAACCATCTGATCTTTGACAAACCTGACAAAAACAAACAATGGGGAAAGGATTCCCTGTTTAATAAATGGTGTTGGGAAAATTGGCTAGCCATGTGCAGAAAGCTGAAATCGGAACCCTTTCTTACACCTAATACAAAAATTAACTCCAGATGTATTAAGACTTAAACATAAGTCTTAAGACATGTGTTAAGATGTCTTTAGACTTAAACATAAGACCTAACACCAAAAAACCCTCGAAGAAAACCTAGGCAAAACCATTCATGACATAAGCATAGGCCAGGACTTCATGACTAAAACACCAAAAGCAATGACAACAAAAGCCAAAATAGACAAGTGGGATCTAATTAAACTTAAGAGCTTCTGCACAGCAAAAGAAACTATCATTAGAGTGAACCAACAACCAACAGAATGGGAAAAAAATTTTGCAATCTACTCTGTCTTTTTCTTATTCTGCCCTGCTGGCTGTGGATCTACATTCAAGATGGCAGTGTTAATTAGGTAGACTTTCTGAATGACTGCATAGAGTAAAACATCACCGTCTCACCTCTCCTAACAAACACACACAATCCCTGCCCAAATGCTTCATGTTTGACCTTAAATTTTCAAAAAATACTTTTTATTTTGTTAAAAGTGGCAAAACTATTCTGAATTATTGGAATTCAGGATAGTGATGAGCTTGAAGGGTGAATGGCCAGAAGGAAGTAAGAGCAAGAACTCTGGATGACTGCTAATTTTCTGGGGTTTTTTTGTTTTGTTTTCATCTGAATGCTACTCACGTGAATGTATTCACATGAAAGGTGACCAAACTGTATAATTAGGATAATTGCATTTTATACATCATTAAAATGTTTTAAAATGTGTGCTGTTTAAGCCTCAATAATTTAAAAATTTATCTGCTGTGGCAGCTAGCATTTAAGTACTCAGCAGTGGAAATGTTAAAAAGTACATGCATTTGAAATATAATTTTTATGGAGAACTGACAAAATTTTCCTACAGAATGGATGTGGACACTTAGCAGGTGCAAACACATTTGACTCACGTGTGTCTATCCTGAGAAACTCAACATTGGCCTTATTTCTATTCAATTCAATTTTTAAATACTTTTGACCCTGATGTAGTAATGTCACCTCACACACTATTTTCTTTGCTAAGGATGACATAGCCTAACTTTCTAGATTTTAAAGCTGATTATCTCTAAATATGCCACAGAAAAAGACAGCATTTAGAGTGAACCTAGGGAGGTGCAATATAAGTCTTTATTGAATTAATCAGAATCCAAAATTTTAGTAATGTCCTTATGTTGTTCCACACCACTATAGATTGGTGGGTTTAATTTTCTTTTTTGAAATGTATTTTTTATGAACATGTAAGCCAACTTAAGTGTTTTAAAACTGTATTATAGTTTACAACTTATAGCCACCTCAAAGTGTAGTTCTTTTCTGGTTGAGCTTATAAATCATAGAGTTTTGCCACTCAATAAAATGATTTTAATACCTCTTCAACATCCTAGTACAATAGTCTTCAGGGAAATGTTTCCTTCTGTTATAAAATTACTAAATCAGTTAATCCTCTTGAGACAAATGTATCAAAAGGATTATATTCTTCCAGTGTTAAAAACTGTACAATAAGCTATTGTATTCCTCATATAGGCTAGAAACATCTCAGAGTGAACAACAAGCTATAAATCTTCTCTTTGTTCTTCTGCTGTCTGTATTATATATACATATATATGTATATATAGAAGAGACATGATAAAGATAGATACTCCAAATTTAATTTAATACAGTGTAATCAGAGAACATTTCCTCTTATTAATAAAAATTGGGAGAAGAAATGAGCCAGGTAAGCTCATGTCATAATAAAATCTTCAAGCCTAAACACCCGGACTGTGTGTTGCTGGTGTTAACGCATTTTTGGATGAGAAATATGGACAAAAGCAACATAAAAATATGAGGATATAGAACATTCAGAAATTACCTCTATGCTGGGACTCACCTAAAAAAAGACAATTGGAAATCAAATTGCTGCTAAATAAAGGTTTGGAAAAATCATGTCTTATTTTTATCATAATAACTTTGTTGAATGAAGGTAGATAAAATAATTTCTTTGTAAAGATATTGAAACATTATGGCATGAAATTATAACCAATTTTGTTTTTGTTTTTACAAAGCAAACATCAAGCTGACCATTTGAGAAGTTATACTGAAAAATTAATTGTGTTATAAGACAGCTTTGAACCTTTCACTTTGCAGAAATCTAGTGTTGAAGCATACAATAGAATCCCAGAAATACGTTTTATTAAATGAGTGCATTTTCCTTTCTATAATTATAATTGCATATGCCTCTAGTATGCATAATCTTTGTAAATATTGTGAAATATGACACTGGACAAATAGATTTTTTCTGAACTTGAAAACAGTTTTCCCTATACATAGTCATTTTGCATTCAATGTTATTTAAACATTTCATGTAAAATCTACTTCTCCTATCCCAAAGGAATTTATCTTACCTGTAACTTGCCAAAACAGCCACAGTCGCCTCTGGGATGATAATGGTGGCTGGAAACATATGACTGTCACCCAGCAACCATTTTATTATGGGATTAAGTAGAAAATTAATGCTGTCAAGTAGATGATAATAGTTGTTGTCATTGCTGTTTTGCTTTTTATTTTTAGATTTTGCAATTTAAATTTAGGCCAGACAGTGTCCATATAAATTGCTTTCCAACTGTGTTCTCTGCCATATAACTCATCATTTGGTGATTGAATTTTTCCTGTGTTTTTTTGAGCTCTAATTTAAACTGTGATCTTTAATTTAAAAAAACTTCCTAATGAATATGGATTACATTTAAGTGACCATATATTTTTACAAAATAAGATCAATCAAAAATAATGGGAAAGTAAGGGGGGAAAAGTACAAAAGAAAATGAAGAGACGTTGGGACAAAATTTTAGTTATTTGTAATCATTTATAATCACTGGAAATGCTTGTGTTTGTGTTTCACCCCAGAGCTGGAATATACACAAGGGAATAAGGTTCACATGCAACTTAACGTATGTGAACCGCATTCTTCTTAGGTAAGTGTTGTCATTATTAAGAAAAATGTGGTGATGATAGACTTTTCAGGTGATAAACGTGGGGACCCAAGTATGATCTGGAAAAAGATAGAAAAACAATCAAAATGAAGAAGTTGACATAATTTTGAATTGTTATGTGCTGAACTAGGAAAAAGAGAGAGCATGTGAATAAGATACAGAAGAAAAGAGATGACCAGGGCAACAGGGAGAAACATGAAGATCAGTGACACTAATGAAAATTGCCAGGGATGTCCAGCTAATGTCCAGATTTTGATTGACTGATGGATTTAGAGGTGGGGTCTTGTTCTGTCACCCAGACTGGAGTGCAGGGCCATGATCATAGTTCACTGAAGCCTTGAATTCCTAGGCTCAGAGCAACCCTCCTGCCTCATTCTTCCAAGTAGCTGGGATTACAGACACAAACCACATTTTATTATTAAATAGTTTGCTTTGTAGGACCCTCCTCTGTCACTGCAAATATTCTGCAAATGTGCTACGTAAACAACATAAGCATTACGTATGAGGATATGTTTTATATCTGCTTGGGTAAATAGAGAAGAGAGAACAGAGTGAGTAAGATAAACGTAAATTCAAGTTTTCAGGAAAATTGGGAAAGCAGAGCTAAAAATGGTCACGAGGCTGTAGATATTGGAAAGTTTTTAGAAGTTTGGTGAGGGTATTGAATTCCCACTGTGGAAGCCAAGATATGTTTAAGTCAACTTTACTTTGATTTTAAAAGACAGAGTTCTCAGCTGAAATCTGAATTAATGAATAGAAAAGTCTGGGGAAAAAACTAATAAACACAGAAAAAAAATTATTGAACAAAGAATGCATCACCAGATGGTATAAAATAAATACTTCAGAAAAATTCAAATACAGAAAAGTTGAAATATTATGTTAGTTCTTGTGTTTGCTTTTACATTGACATGACTTTACTGATGCAACATATTATCCCTTTCCAATTTATGGCCATTGAGAAAACAGAACGAACTCAAAACGTTGCATTTATTTAGCAACATTTTGAGTAAACATCACATAAGCTAATTTTTATAGGCTGCTGTTAATGGAGGTTGGGTTTGGGTATGGGTAGCAATGTATTTATAGTGGATCTCAAGAAAAATGGGTATCTCATGCAGACCTTTCCTCATCTGTTCTAATTTTTCTTCTTATTTTTAAAAATAGAAATCAACTATGAGAAACCATACAACAGTAACAACCTTTATTCTTCTTGGACTGACAGATGATCCACAATTACAGGTGATCATTTTTCTTCTTCTTTTTTTCACCTACATGTTGAGCATCACTGGGAATCTAACCATCATCACCCTCACCCTACTGGATTTTCGTCTCAAAACACCCATGTATTTCTTCCTCCGAAATTTCTCATTTTTAGAAGTCGCATTCACAACTGTCTGTATTCCCAAATTTCTTGTTACTATGGCAACAGGTGATAAGACCATTTCTTACAACAATTGTGCAGCACAGCTGTTTTTCACTATTCTCTTGGGGGCAACTGAATTTTTTCTTCTGGCTGCCATGTCCTATGACCGTTATGTGGCCATCTGCAAACCCTTGCATTACGCCACCATCATGAGCAACAAAATTTGCAACTTGCTGGTCTTTGCTTCATGGATGGCTGGCTTCCTAATAATTTTTCCACCACTCCTTATGGGTCTTCAGCTTGATTTTTGTGCAGCCAACACCATAGATAATTTCTTCTGTGATGTTTCTCCTATACTTCAGCTCTCTTGCACAGACACTGACATAATAGAATTAATGATGCTTCTCTCAGCCATTTTGACACTCCTGGTTACACTGGTATTAGTGATTCTTTCCTATACGAATATTATCAGGACTGTTCTGAAAATACCTTCTTCTCAACAGAGGAAAAAGGCATTTTCTACATGTTCTTCCCACATGGTGGTCGTATCCGTTTCTTATGGCAGCTGCATCTTCATGTATGTGAAGCCCTCAGCAAAAGAAAGAGTGTCATTAAATAAGGGGATAGCTCTGCTCAGCACTTCTGTTGCCCCCATGTTGAATCCCTTTATTTATACACTAAGAAACAAACAAGTTAAAGATGTTTTTAAGCATATAGTCAAAAAGATTGAACTTTTCTCAGTGAAATGAGTCACTTCAATGATATTGTTAAGGTTATGAGTAAAATAAAACAAGAGTGGAGTATGTACACAGTTTTTCAATGCTTGTATTCAAAATAATATTACCTCTTTTTTGATTTATAATTTTCATTATAGCCTTCCTAATCTCCAAAGCCTAACCTTCACTCCCATTTCTCCCTCATGCTAAGAGCACATATAAAAGATACTTCTTGGTTTTGGTCAAAATCGTTTGCTCATTATTAGTGCCTCTTTCATTTCCTCTCAAAATTCTCTCAAAGGAAGATGAAGTGACACCTTATGCTTCTTTCCACTCTTCTGGAATTTAGGAACCCAATTTGTCACATATTCTTCATAGAGTTCAATGGACTACCTTGGTCTGACCACTTAATGAGTGTATTATTGGTGGATACAAAAGTGAAAACTGATTTCTTACTTAGTGTTTAGTAGAATCTTGAAGCAAATCAATTTAATGGCATTTCTTTAATCACACAGTTTAATAGCTTCAATTTTTTAACCAGGCTTAGAGATATAGTGTATTTTCATAAGTAAACGAAAGGAAATTCAGAGAGGGTAAAGTATTACTACGGTTGCAGCTATCACATAGAAATTATAGCTGGCATTTATGGATTGCTTACAATGTGCCAAATTTTATTAAATTTATTAGTTTCATCTTCAAAACACTAGAAGACAGGTATTTTATGCTCCATTTATGGATAAAAAATATAAGACATGAGGATTAAATAATTTGTTGATGATGAAAAACAAAAACAAAAACCCAAGGATGACAAAATAAAGCCTTCATGTCCAGTCACTGCAAAGACATTTTTGTGAAAATCTCTTTCCGCTCTTAAGTCACTTAGAATGCAAAAGAACAGTAAGATTTTTGTAGAACATTCTACAGATTTATGGATGACATAGATAAAATTAAAATTTTACAGGTCTACAGAGTCCCTTATTTTTCAAATTAAGTGATTTGAACATTAAAATTAATATAATGCCTGGTCATGTGCAAAGCAGAGTATTTCAAAACTTTTCCTTTGAATGGGATCATATATCAGTGTTACAAAACAAAAAAACTTTTTTTCTGAAAAACTAACGTCAGTTTCCTCAATAAATATTTGTCTGTTGGTTTCCAATAAGGTAACTGACAGCCTTATGAAAAATTCTGATAGGATTTATTTGTTTGACTTTTAACATTATTATATACATTTTATCTTAATATATTTCCAAGTATATGTAACTGTCAGATCCCCAGGCTAGCTAGAAATTTTATATGAATTTTATGAGCATTAGCGAGAAGCTGTGTACATATATTAACTGGGGATGTGAGAAGCTGAGAGGATTCAAATAGACATTTTAATAGTGGCCATATATGTGTAAATGGTTTCCATAATGCTGCAACACTTTAAGAATGTCTTGTTTGAAAATAGAAAATAAAATATCTAGGAAGTATTCTTCAGCTTTCACTATTTTGCTTTCTTTGCATCAGGAATTTAAGTTTATATAGACAAAAAATCATACTTTATAGATAACTACACTCAGGAAAAGTTGACTCAAAATGTTTGGAATATGACAAAAATTCTGATCTGGAATATCTCGGATTTTCCTGTGAACACTCTTCTCCACAATTTAAGTTGTTGCCAAATGCAAATATGCAACATATTTATTTTCTAAGTATTACATTGCTTAATTTTAAAACTTATTCCTCATACATGAACTCCAAGCTCAGCTCTTTTAAATATGTGATATATAGGTAAATCCATAAAATATTTGATGTAGATTAAAAAGTGTAATTTCCACTTTGGGAGGCCAAGGCAGGTGGATCACGAGGTCAAGAGATTGAGACCATCCTGGTCAACGTGGTGAAACCCCGTCTCTACTAAAAATACAAAAATTAGCTGGGTGTGGTGGTGCGCACCTGTAGTCCCAGCTACTCAGGAGGCTGAGGCAGGAGAATTGCTTGAACCCAGAAGGCGGAGGTTGCGGTGAGCCGAGATCATGCCATTGCACTCCAGTCTGGGTAACAACAGCAAAACTCCATCTCAAAAAAAAAGTATAATTTCTTCATTTTTCTTCATCCAAAAATGAATATTGACAACTCTGTGAAATTCAGAAACATACTTAGTAGACTTAACTACTTAGAATAGATGGATTTTTTTTTTCTATGTCTAGGCTGTTTGTAAGCAGATAATGGAAAATGCAAAAGGAAAGAAACTTTGGTCCTAATTTATGATGGGAAAAGATTAGTGAAGGTCATTTTTTACTTAATTTGAAATAAATCACTAGTAATCTGATTTATAGTGTAAATACAAGAGATCAGGGTCCATTATAGGAACTTATAATTTTTAAATTGTGCTAGACTTTTAAAAAATTATTAAAATCTCATTTGTTCATGTTTATCTCATGTCTAGTATTCATTTTTCTGGAACTGAAAAGGGAAAAAATAATCAGCTGTTTTTCACCAGTATTAGGTTGGTACAAAAGGAATTGCGATTTCACCATCAAAAGTAATTAAAATTTCACCATTAAAATTTAATTTCACCACTAAAGGTAATGGTGAAATTGCAACTCCTTTTGTACCAATCTAATATATACTGAATAAGGATTCAGACAAGCTAGACTCAAGGTACGTCAATTGTCTATTATATAGCCTTGCTGCCTTTGATCTCTAACTCATCCTCCACATTGCTGTTAGAATACTTTCTAAAATACAAATCCATCATGCCACCACTCTGCTAACATATTATTGATGGTTCTCTGTTGCCTGCAAAATAATAACAAAATTTCCCCAATATGTGCATTACCTGGCCTTTCCAGTTTTGTTTCTTATCTCTTCCAACTAGTACTTCCATAACTTAACCACACTAAACAACTAAGTATATTGCAAAACTTGTGTGCTGTCATATATATCAAATGCCTGCCTATTGCCCAAATCTCTGCTAGCTTCAATCATCAGTTAAAGTTAATTAAAATGGATACTTCTGTGGAAGGCTGGTTGACAAGTATGTGAGTCACTTCACACTCAACCTTTTGTAGTGCTTGTAGTCAACTCTAGATGGTGCTTACCAGAGGATGTGTAATTAACTGTATTTTTCTTGCAATGAACTCTAAATCTTACAGTTTTCTACATTCTCTTCATCTAACCCAGTGCCTAGTAAGGAAAAAATAAAATAAATAAGGCAGTGAATGATAGGAGATTAATATGTTTGCCAATAAAATAAGATTAAAGTATGGCATTTGATGGAGATTAATATAAAAATGTAAGCTTAGAGTCAGAATGTCTATTATAGAATAATTAATGAATTGGACTTGATGACTAGCAATATTAAAAAATGTTTAGGTGTTAGAAAACTACAAGTTTATTACATATATGGAGTGTTTATGAGCATTAAAGAGATAATTAAATTACATGAGACACTAAAGTCCCATTTTATCATACATATCTCAAAAATTCTGTTTAGTTTTATCCTTTAAAATGAGCTTTTGAAAACTGAAGTCAAAGAATAATCAACATTGTCATAAATTTAGAAATTATGTCACATGAGAAAATATTTAGAGTGCTAATAATATGGAGCTTGAGGAAAAATTGCTTATAAGAAAAATAAATGCTATCTTCAAATATTAAAATCACCATGCTTTCAAAAATTATGGACTTGCTCTTCTTTCTATAAGTATAGGTGTGCAACTGGTGTTTATCAATCATTCAATTAGTAAATATATATATATGTATTTTCATGGTATGTACACATTTATTAGTTCATAATTTATATATAAACAACAGTATAAATATTTTGAAATTTTAATAGAAAAATAAGAATAAAGGAAATTATATGTTTTGCAATATAACTTTAGAGTATAACTTTTAATTTTACTGAGGTACAAATATTTTAATTTAATTAAATATTCTTTATTATACTTGCAAATACTTACATAATTCTTATGTGAAATGATCTGCAAGTCTTAGTCCAAGTTTATTTTACCTAGTACTTAATTACGTGGGTTGGCATAGTGCAAAGTTAATGCTTCATAATAATGTGGATCCACCTTAAAGAAGTGAACATCACAATATGTATCCTTCAATCCCATTCAAATTTTTTTGAGTGACTACATTTCTGTTTTCTCTAATGTTAACCGTCTGTCTTGATTCTGCATTTTTATATAATTTTTATAAAGCACACAAATGTTTTATGGCCGAATAGGAACAGCTCTGGATTGCAGTTCTCAGCAAAAACACAGAGGGTGAGTGATCACCGCATTTCCAAATGAATTTTTACTGCCTACACCCAGGAGATTCCCAGGCGAAAAAGCACCACCAGTCTCCAGCACGGCTGTTTCAGCCAGTGCAGCGGGTCTCCACCCAAAAACTCATACAAATCCAGGCACCATTTTAACTGGCAACTGGAACACCTGGGAGACAGAGTTGCTCATTCAACTGAATAAAAGGAGGCTGAAATAGGGAGCCAGGTGTTCTGGCTCAGCTGATCCCACCCCCACAAAGACCAGCAATTGGAAACGCTCTGAATTGAGAGTTTCACAGCAAGCACAGCAGGACCCAGGACAGTCCTGCTCTGTGGATAGAAGGGTGTCTGCCATTACCGAGGCAGTCCACCACTACCAAGGCAGTCTGCATGTTTGATTTTCTGTTCTTGTGTTAGTTGCTGAGAATGATGGTTTCCAGTTTCACCCAAGTCCCTACAAAGGACACGAACTGGCTGGGCGTGGTGGCTCAAGCCTGTAATCCCAGCACTTTAAGAGGCCGAGGCAGGTGGATCACAAGGTCAAGAGATCCAGACCATCCTGATCAACAAGCTGAAACCCTGTCTCTACTAAAAAAAAAAAAAAATGCAAAAAACTAGCTGGGCATGGTGGCACATGCCTGTATTCCTAGCTACTCAGGAGGCTGAGGCAGGAGAATTGCCTGAACCCAGGAGGCGGAGGTTGCGGTGAGCTGAGATTGCGCCATTGCACCCCAGCCTGGGTAACAAGAGTAAAACTCCGTCTCAAAAAAAAAAAGGACATGAACTCATTATTTTTGATGGCTGCATAGTATTCCATGGTGTATATGTGCCACATTTTCCCTGTCCAGTCTATCATCGATGGGCATTTGGGTTGGTTCCAGGTCTTTGCTATTATAAACATTGCTGCAATGAACATTCGTGTGCATGTGTCCTTACAGTAGAAAGATTTACAATCCTTTGGATATATACCTAGTAATGGGATTGGTGGGTCAAATAGAATTTCTAT